AAACAGGGTTAAGTGACTTACCCAAGGTCACACAGCTTGTGATATATCTGAGCTCCAACTGGCTTGAGAGAATGAGCTTTTACACCTTAGAAATCAGCAAATGCCACAAATCAGGGCTTGGTTTTGTTGATTGATCTAGAAAAGTGCCAGAAAAACTGTAAATAATGCAGATTAAACTGCATATCTGAGGCCAGATTTGAACTCATGAAGAGGCATCTTCCTGATTCCAAGCCCAGTGGTCTACCTACTGTGCCACACCAAGCTATCCTTGAGTATAGTTTCCCATTTTTTGGTTAAGCCTTTGATGGTCTGGCATTTCAAAGCATAGGTGAGGAGCCTCTGACATCATCTGATGGCTTTTCTCTAGTCAGGTGACCAGGAAGCTTCCTCCATGGTCCAAGTTTTCAGTCACCTGGGCCAATGAAGTCTCAAGAATATTTTCAATGCCTTTCAAGGAATAATTAGCTCCACTTTCTCTCCTCTAACTCTCTTCTTAATTTAACCCCTTTCAATCTAGCTTCCAACCTTGTCATTCCACCAAAACTGTCCTATCCAAAGTTACTAATGATCTCTTAGTTGCCGAATCCAATGGCCTTTTCTCAATCCTTATTCTATCTGACCTCTGTAGCCTTTGACACTGGTGATTACTCTCTTCTTGATAATTTCTTCTCTCCAGGTTTTTGGAACACTAGTCTGTCCTGGTTTTCTTCCTCCCTATCTGACCTCTCCTCTGTCTCTTTGGTTAGATCCTCTTCCAGATCTCGCCTTCTAACTTTTGGCTCTTTTATATCCCCAGTGTTTAGCACAGTGCCTGGCACACAATAAGTGCTTAATAAATGTTTGTTGATTGATTGAGGGACCAGCCCCTTCTCTCCTTTTCTAAGGAAGCAGCAGGAGACCAAGCTTCTAGATGTCAGCATGTCTTTACTAGAAGAAAGTCTTGATTCTTAATTTCAGGACAAGGAAAGGAATGCTGCTGATATCTCAGTTTTAATCACAGGAGGATAACAAGAGAGTAACTTAGTCCTGGTGTATGGCAAGTCACCCAAAGGGCTAGAAACTTATTCCAATGAATAAGGGGAAGAGCAGATTCTTTCCTGACTACAACTTCTTCTTCCCACAAGAAAACCCCAGAGTATATGCCCTTCCCTTGACCCACATCTTAACTCCACTCCACCTAGCTCAGGTAAAGTTGAGATCTGAGTCACACTAGTCTGGTTACAATAGCTTGCTGTCTAGCCTAGGGCAAAGGAAATCCCCAGATCCAATTTAGTTCTGCTTTTTAGAGGAAATTTATTTTTACAAAATCATTAACAAAAAAATTATGAACATGAGATCCTCAAACATGTGCAGTTCATGGACCCCTCAATTAGGATGAAACTTTAGTGTTTTCAAATGGAGATTTTAATCTCTGACCTGTTTAAATTCTATGTGTTCCCAGCTAGTCACTGGAATCTTACATCTTACTCTTCCTGGCATGGAATTAACAAATATGCATGTATCACAAAGCAGTTAGGATCAATCATAAATATTTGAATATGAACAAAATTCAGGAAATAGAAACAGCTTAGAAAGATAGTTGGGGGGGGGAATCACATGGAATGCCTGTTAGTAACAGGCACCTTGGGGGCAAGGGGCTTCCACCTGGTATCTTTGTCCCAGAAGGCTATGAAGAGATCACATTATTTAGATAATCATAGATTTAGAGCCAGAAGAGACCTTAGCAATTATCTAATCCAACCTCCTCATTTAACAGGTTGAAAGGGTGCCCCTAACATTGTTCTGGGGCCTCAACTTCCCTTCCTCTTCAACCATGGAAGATTTTGTTGTGCTATTAACGGTACCTCCTTAATCAGACCTCTAGCTTCCAGAGATCAAGCTAAATTTTTGATAAGATGAGAAATCCCTAACTGCCTCTCCCCAAAACATATAAAGTGCACGAGAACACACAGACATAAAGACACACACACAGACACACACAGACACACACACACACACACACACCATTGCCCTGTGTTCTCCCCTTGCCTCTCTGACATCACACTATGGTGGACTGATTCCCAGGCAGTTTACACACCTGAGCTAGATGCACCCCTGGACTTGCCCTTTTAAAGGGAGGCTGAAAGGCCTGGCCAAGAATCAACAAATCACAAAATTTGAGAGTTGGAAAGAATTTTAGTGGCCAACTCATAGCCCTAAATAATTCCCACTGCAGCATCACTCACAAGTGGTCATTTAGCCTCAACTTGAAGGCCTGCAGGGAGGGGGAACCCAGCACCTTGTGAGACAGCCCATCCCACTCTTGGACAATGCTAATTGTCAGAAAGTTTTTTCCTGATGTCAAGACTAAATGTGCCTCTTTGTAATTTCTACTAAATGCTTTCACTTCTGATTTCTGGGGCCAAACAAAACAAGTGGAATCCCTCTCCCACAGGGTAGCCTTTCAAATCCTTGGAAACAATGATGATGACCCCTGGGAGCCTTCTCTTCCACAGGTTAAACATCCCCCTTTCCTTCATCTGACCCTCCCACAGCACGGATTTAAGGCCCTTCACCATCCTGGTTATCTTGCTCTGGACACATCAGCTGATCAGTGTCCTCTATAAGCTGTGATGTCCAGAATTACATACAACACCAGAGCTATGGTCTGACCAGGGCTGAGGACTGTGGCTCTGGCCCTGTCACTTCCCCATTCCTAGAAGCTGTGCTTGCCAAAAGCAGCTCAAGTTTACACTGGCTTTTTGGGCTGCCATATCCTGCAGCAGACTTACATAGAATCTGCAGTCCACTAAAACCTTCAGATCTTTTTCAGAAAAAAACTGTTGGCTAACTATTTGTTGTTGTTCAATGAAGTCCTATACTTCATGACCCTATTTCTGGTTTTCTTGAGAGATATTGGAGTGATTTGCTATTTCTTTTCCAGTTCATTTTACAGATGAGGAAATTGAGGCAAAGGGGGTTAAGTGACTTGCCCAGAGTCACACAGCTAGTACGTGTCTCAGGCCAAATTTGAACTCAGGTCTTTCTGACTCCAGTCCCGGCACTCTATCCATTGTGCCACCTAGATGTCTTACCATGGTTTCTGCTATATTGTATTTGTGAAATCTATTTTTGAAACTAAGTGTAAGACATTATATTTATCCCTATTGAATTTCATTTTATTACATTTACTCCAATACTCTAGCCTGCTAAGCCCTTTAGGGATCTTGACTATGCCATTATAGCTGTCCCTTCCATCTTTGTGTAATCTATTTGATAAAACCATCGATTTATGCCTTTATCTGGGTCAATAATAGTGATAGGGAAAGAGACTGCACCTGTGATTTTGTTAGTATAAAACACTCCCAGATGAACACACTCTCTCCACCAATGCTTCTCTAACAGTTATGGTCTTAGAGAGTTGCCAAGAGTACTAGAAGTTAATCAATTTGCCAGGGTCACATATCCTGTTAAGTATAAGAGACAGGTCTTGAACTCAGCTCCAAGACAGTTCTCTATCAGCACAGATCCCTGGGGCACTTCACTATAAACCTTAGATATCACTTCTATCACTTCCCTATCACTGGGCTTTTAAAGCCCTTCCTAACCTAGCCTCCTCTGACTTTTCCTATGCCTTACTCCCCACCTTATACTCTGTGATCCATGACATTGGCTTCATTGCTGACACTCCATTTCCCAACTCCCTGCATTTTAGCTAGCTGTCCCCCTTTCCCAGGGAATTCTCCTTCTTCCTCTCTATTTCCTGGCTTCACTGGCTTCCTTCAAGTTCCAGCTAAAGCCTCACCTTCTGAAAGAAGGTTTTCCCAATCCTCAATGCTAGTAGCTCCCACTTAGCTCTTGGCCATCGCCAGTCATCTTGACCTAGGTCTTGCCCAGATTCTGATGATTCTAGAGGAGAAAATAGGGCCAATGACTTTGCACAGCTCTGCCTCACTTAAATCCAATTCACTTGCAAGTCAAGACATCCCCCTCCTGATGTCATTGGTCCTCTTGGAGAACAAATGATGAACAACAGCCTGCTTACCTCCAATTTATCTTGTCTAGATCTTATTTGAACATAGTTGTTTTCATGGTGTCTCTCCCATTAGTCTGGGTACAAATTCATCAGGAAAAGTGATGATTTTTCCAGAAGTCTGGGTAAGACCTTGACATGGAGGCAGGAAAGTACAGGGCATGTTAGAGGAGCAGAGTCATCTGGTCTAACATGCAGAGGTGGAGGAGAATAAGATGAGAGAAGACTACTAAAGTATGGTGTCCCCAGAGTAAAGAGACCTTCAGACCTGGGTATACCTCCTGCCAGGCAGGAAGTTTGAACTTTACTTGGGAGGTCATAGGAGTCATCAAAGCATTTTGAGCAGGAAAGTGGTATGATTTGTACAATGTACAGTGTGTAAGCAGTGAGGTATGATGTAAAGAAGCCTGAACCTGTCTTTTGTACCCTAATACTATGCCTGCCACAAATTTACTAGGTGACCCTCACTAAATCATTCCTCTCTTGGGGATTAGTCTCACCATCTGTGAAATAGGGTGGGGTAGGATGAAGTAGACTAGTTTCCTTTCAGCTCATATGGAGGCTGAGTCTATGTGAAACAAAAATAGAATATGTGTGTGTGTGTGTGTGTGTGTGTGTGTGTGTGTGTGGCATTATGCCAAAAAGGAGGAGGTCTTAGATACATCCCTAAACTGGGAAACTCCCCCAACCCCACCTAGCCAGCCCACCCTGCCAAGGAACATCAGAACAGGTTCTGTCCCTCCTCATTGGTGCTGGCTGAGCAGCACAGTGTTCCTAGGCAGCCAATCAGAGCCCAGGATTGGCTGGTCCAGAATGAAGAAGGAGAATGGGGAGGGGCTCAGACGGATGGAGAAGCTCTGGTCCATCCCAGGATCCCAGCCACCCTGAATCTAGCTAGGGGACCTGGGGGGCGGGGGGGGGGGGGGGGGGCGGCTGGGTGTGGCCTGCAGATAGTGATTTCTTCCTCCTCTGACTCTTTCCTCCAAAGGGACGGGCTCCCTGACCACTTCCTCATTTGGGGGCAGTTTAAAGACAGAGTTCTCCCTTCCTCCAGTCTCCCAGGACACAGATTTACCCTATCAGAACCTGCCTTCTGAGGGCCTCTGGGTCACTCAAAAGGCCGCAGTATCTCAGGGAGCCGTCACCAAGGATATTGGCAGAGCCTGGCAGTTGGCTCCTGGACCCAATCACTATGGAGCAACCCCTTTTAGGAAGTGAGACGCCAGACTATGAGACTTTCCCGGAGAGGCCAGACCAGCAACAAGAACAGAATTATATCAGGTAAGAGATGGGGAGTGCGAGGGGGGTGGGGAGAGCACAGAAACTGAGTTGCTTCTCTTTTCTCTCTAGGAGAAGGCTAGATTCTTGATTCCTGTCCTCACATTAGGGAAATCTAAGTCCCAGCTCTCTTCCCCCACACCCTCCCTACCCTCCTACCCTCTAGGACAAGAGGCAAGAACCAGCCGCTTAGTCTGGATGCCCCAGGCCCCCTCTATCATCTGATAGTGTGGATGCTCCCAGGGCTGGCCTGCAGGGGATGGTAGCTCTGGGCCAAACCTAGGAAGGCCTGATGCTTCCTATCTGTAGGTGGTTCAGGGACCCTCTAGTGAGACAGGACAAATAGAAAAAAAAAAATCTGTTACCATTTGTATCCAGAGATGATGCCTTTCATTCAAACAACAAAAAAAAGACATGTATTTGAATTTGCTTTTCTAATGTTGAGAGAGGAGTACATGGAACTATTCACATGCTCTCACATAAGGACTGGATGACAAAGTTAAGGCCAGTGAAGAGAAAGTAAAGCTTGCTGTGCCATGGAGGAGAGCAGAGCCCATGATGTAACCTCACTGAAGTACAGACTCAGTGGCTTAGGGTTGAGGGAATTTGTTAAATTGTTAATTATTGAATTGCTCATTGTTAATAAGAGGCAGCTAGGCTGTCAAGTGGATAGGCCTAGAGTTAGGAAGACCTGTGTTCAAATACAGTCTCAGAAATTTACTAGTTGTATGGGCAAGTCACTTAACTCTGTTTGCTTCAGTTTCCTCATCTGTAAAATGAGATGGAGAAGGTAATGGCAAACCACTCCAGTATCTTTGCCAAGAAAATCCCATTTGGCATCACAAAGTCAGACACAACTGAACAACAATTATTATTTGTACAACTGGGATTCGTTTGGGTTGGCTTATATTAAGACTGAAAACAACTGAACAACAAATTGTTAAGAAGTACTTCCTTACATTGAACATTGAAATCTGTCTCCCTAGCCCACAGTCAGGGTGTGCTGACATATAATCAGCTATCAAATTTTTTTTAAAGTATATGCAACACACTTTTAAAGTTTAATCTACATCAATAACATTTTTCTCGGTGTAGCTAGGTGGTACGGTGGATAGAGCTCCGGCCTTGGAGTCAGGAGGACCTGAGTTCAAATCCGACCTTAAACACTTGACACTTACTAGCTGTGTGACCCTGGGCAAGTCACTTAACCTCAATTGCCTCACCAAAAAGCAAAAATACTCCATTGCTTTTTTTTGATGAGGCAATTGGAGTTAGGTGACTTGATGTCCAGTAGAATGTTTTTTTTTTAGTGAGGCAACTCCATCACTTTCTTAAGCCTAGTCTAGACAATAAATAAAACAATAATAGCATTTGCAAGTTTCCAAGGTGTAAATGCTCATGCTGAAAATTTAACAATCAGCTCTCAGTAGGCAATTAAAAACTGACTCTAGCTCATCCTGACAATGGTCCGAGCTCTGTTTGTACAGAAATTGTTAGCTTCCTCTTCCATAGGACAACCCTTTAGATAGCTGCAGACAGTGTCTATCTCCCTGACCACCAAGCCTTCTGTTCTCAAAACTAAAATTCCCCAATTCTTTCATGTGGTCTTTACACAAATCATTATGCCAAGAATCAGTAACTCTGATCACCTTTCTTCCTCTGGACCCATTCCAATTTATTAAGGTCTCTGTTAAATTGTGGTGGTTGGAACTGAAGGTGTGTGACTTTGTCCCAGTCATTAACTTCTCTGAACCTCCACTTCTCCATCTATAAAATGAAGGAATTGAACTAGAAGTTTTCCAAGACGCCTTCTGGCTCTAACCTTCTGTGCATATGTGAGCTTCAGATGTGGTCTGAGATGTTCAGAATAGAGTAGAACAGGTGATGGGCATGGGTGGGAAGAGTAGGAAGCAGTGAGCTGGGGGCCTTACAGGTAGCCCTGCCTTGGCCCCTTTCTCCCCCTTTCTTCTTACCCTAGAACCCTGAAGAATAAGAGGCTGTTCCTGGCTACCTTTGCAGCAGTGCTGGGAAACTTCAGCTTTGGCTATGCTCTGGTCTATACATCCCCAGTCATCCCAGCTCTTGAGAGATCCCCCAACCCAGCTTTACGAATGACCAAGACAGAGTCATCCTGGTTCGGGGTAAGGATCCTGGATCCCCGGGCTCAGGAATTCACAAGATAACTTCCTTTTGCCCCCAGCCCCTGGGTGACTGGAATGCTGAGGCAGGCCCTATCTTTTACCCTTCAACACCTCTTTCTCCTGGAGAAGCCCCTGGAACACTTTTCTTTTGATTCCCAAACTTCTGTGGATTTTCCAGGACCTCTTTGCATCCCACCCCTCTAGCCCCAACATATCTTTTGGGAAAATTCTGCAAAGAAATGAAAATAAAAAGTGAAAATGATCTGAGTTACTGGAAGGAACTGGTACCATGCATGGTCATGATCTAAATTTACTCCATTCCCACCCCCTGGAGGGTAGAGCCCAGGACAGAGCAGACACCCCCAACCTGGTTAAACAGGAGGCCTCTGGGGCTCCCATAGAGGCCTTCCAAATTAGTACTTGCCTAGACACTATTCAGGTGTACATGCCTGGCACACTTTGGGGGAAGGAGCTTTAGGTACCCCAACACCTCTGTCCAGTGGCCACATCCCCTAGCAGGGAAGAGCATCTCCAGCTTCTGATGGGGAGGAGAGGGTCCTACCCAAGTAAACCAGGTCTGGATATGGTCACCCTAGCAGCTCCCTTTTCTCCACAGTCCGTGTTCACCTTGGGAGCAGCCGCTGGCGGCCTCAGTGCCATGGTGCTCAATGATCTCCTGGGCAGGAAGCTCAGTATCATGTTCTCTGCTGTGCCCTCGGCTATTGGCTACGCTCTCATGGCTGGAGCTCAGGGCCTGTGGATGCTCTTGCTGGGAAGGATTCTGACCGGCTTCGCGGGAGGTCTCACAGCTGCCTGTATCCCAGTAAGGACAATCCCCAGAGCTGCCCTTACATCCCAGAAAGGACATCTCCTGGGGACATTGGGGAAAGACTAATCAGCAGCTCAATGACTTGGGGTTCAATTTTCCTCTTTGTTGTCAAAACCAATTCCTGGTGTGTTTTAACTGAGATGTTCCATTTCTTAGCCATTAGTATAAGTAAATGGCAGCTCTGCTTTTCCATTAACTTCTTGCATGTCTTTGGATAAGCTTTTCCCTCTCTGGGCCTCAATTTCTCCATTTGTAAAATGAGTGACTTGAATTAAAGCGCTAAAATTGGATTCAGAGGATGTAGGTTCAAAACCTGGCACTCCCACTTTTTATAGATATGACCTTAACTTAAGCAAGCCACAGAATGTGTCTAGGCTTTTTTGTTCCCTCATCTACAAAAATGAAAGGGTTAGAATAAATGATCTCTAGAGTGCTTCCCAGGTCTAACATCCCATGACTTTACAGATTTCTCATGAGGATGTTTCATGTGCACAGGGAGTCGTGACTGACCCCGAGCCTAGGAGACCTGTTTCTGAGTGAGACTTCTCTCCATCCTCTTGTCTATCCACCATCTGCTACCCTAGCCTGGCCAGTTTTCAACCAAAAATTACTTCTTACCTCAAGGGTATTGCTCAATCAAAGAAAGTCCGAATTGAGCAAGGGGAGGAAGCAGAGAAAGGCCCTTCCCTCCTCCCACACCCCAACCCTCCACTTATTCTAATTACTTCCCATGGCTGTGACTGTTCTGTTTGCTCCCTCTGGGGATGCCTTACCCTATCTGTCACTCAGCACATTCTGGCAGATGATAAAGGGACCCTGATAGGGGCAAAGCAAAGGCCAAAGAGGGAAGCAGTGTCAGGAGAATCGGCACCAGATGTCCAGGAAGCCAAAAGCAGCTACTAAGCAGGTCTCTTTTATAGTGTTTGCAGCCTTTTGCCATGTGAGTGTCCCCTGACAAGTCTGAGATAGGCCACAGTCACCCTCCACGTAGGAAAAACTGAGGCTCAGAGGAGATGGGTGATTTGTCCATAGTGATGTAGGGTAAGGTCAAGTCAACTCAATTCAACAAACATTTATTTGGAAGGTAGGATGGTATTATGGATTGATCCCTGGATTTGGAGTCAGGGAGAACGGAGTTCAAATCCTACATCAGACACTAGCTGTATGAGCCTGGCTAAGTCCCCCAACCTCTCTGGGCCTCAGTTTCCTCATCTGTAAAATGAAAGGATTATACCCAATGACCTCAAAGGCCCTTTCTAGTTCTAAATCTACAGTCCTATCTGGTTTGAGCACTAGGATAAAGGGCCCAATCTCTTGACTCTCACAGACTAGGACCCCCACCTAGCATCACTTTCTTGTTTCCTGAGTGGTACTCATGGAAGCTGGGCCTCCCTCAAGCTGGGAATGAAGAGCTTCTCTCACTTGAGGCCTGGACCAGTTGTGAACTTAGAACAATAGCACTAGAGACTCTTACAGCTGGAAGGAATTTGAGAAACCATAGAACAATTTCCTCCCCCTTTACCAAGAAGGAAAGAGAAGGACCAGATGAAGGTAGTGATTTGCCTGATGTCATAACAGCCAATTAGTGGCAGGTCCAAGATCCCAGGCATCCTGACTCATCCTTCTTTCCCATGTAGCATGATTTGTCTTACAGGTTTATGTGTCTGAGATCTCCCACCCTGGAGTTCGAGGGGCTCTGGGGGCCACACCCCAGATCATGGCTGTCTTCGGGTCCCTCTTGCTCTATGCTCTGGGCAAGTATCTTTTCTCTGATGGGGGAGGTGGGGTGGAGGCGGAGACTACAAATCAGTCAATCAACAAACAAACATTTGTCTAAGTACATACTAGTTCAAAGCCCTGATCACTGTCGGGCTATTCCCTGAGGAGGGATCTCTAGCTTAATAGAACAAAGTTGCTGCTCTCAGGGAGCTCACAGTTTAGTTGGGGAGATGGGAAACATGAAACGATAATTCATAATGCAGCCTCGACCCAGAGTTCCCGACCTGAGGTTAAACTGTAGCCCAGGGGGCAGGAGAAGGATGAAGTCACTGAGGAAGCAAAGGTTGATCTGCAGAGTGTATTGATTTATTAAGCAATGCAGGCAAATTGCCCAATAAACCAGGACCAGACCTCCTCAGCTTAGGCACTGGACCCCAAACACAGGAGGCAAGGAGACAGAGTTTTATGCATTAAAAAACAATTAATCAAATAAGGCCAATTAATTAAAAGGAAACAATACAAAGTTAGATAATCTGACTTCTAATTAGATAAAAGATTAGGGACTTTCTAAGTTGGGAGGGGAGAGTGAATGGGTACAATTCACTGAAATCAAAAAAGGAGGCATCCCACTCGCCAAAGTGTCTGTAAGCAATCAAAGTAACAAGGAAACAATAATTGATTGATCGGTACAGGGCCAGTTCTCAGGTAAGACATAAAGATTGCTTGAGATATGCAAGTGGAAGAAAACTCCTTGCATCAACCTTTGGATCTGACTGGGTTTCTGGTCCTTGGTAAAGGGTGTCTAAACATGAAGGAGAAGTGATCTAGTTTCCCAGCCACACAGGCCTAGGTTCAAACAATCCAATAAGGTTTTCTGCCAGTTCCCACAATTGAATAAACTTTTCTCACAAGACAGAATTTGGACTAGACCCATAATTGAATAGAAATGGAACCGAGGTAGCGAGGTAGCTCCAGAATGAGTCACAAAATAGAGGCAGTGTGATTCACCCAGTTCCCACAATTAACCACTCATTGTCCTAATCCCAATTCATTCAAGGAAGACCTGAGTTAAATTCTTGTCTCAGATACTTACTAGCTGTGTGGGTCTGGAAAAGTCACTTAACCTCCCTTAGCCTCAGTTTCCTCGTAATAATAGTACCTACCTCATAGAGTTGTGAGGATTAAAAGGAGATAATATATGTAAGGTGCTTTGCAAACTTTAAGATGCTGTAGAAATGTTAGTTTATTATTGCTATCAAGGGGTATGGGAATATTTGGTCAATAACTGTATTACTCTGCTGAAATTTAGTAGAATTTTTTTTACTTTCAGATTAAATGGGGGTAAAGAAAATTATACTGAAAACCAAGGGTATGGGGACCAAAAAAAATGGTTGAGAACCTCTGATATAAATAGTGTATAACTCAGGCCATATGAGGAATAGAAGCTGCAAGTACCATGGGAGGAGAGGTCTCTGTAGGCCAAGGTGGTCCACGAAGGCTTCCCGGAGAAGGTCCTGGCTGGTCCTTGAAGGATAGGCAGGATTCCACCTTGGATCCCCAGCCTGGTGATCCTGGGGACCCAGGGAAGTGTGTAGAGAGGTAATATCCTGTGACTAGTACCTCTTCCCCTATCCCTTCAGTCCCATTCTAGGACCTCCTCTAACTTTCTTCTGCCCTCTCTCCACTCCCCCACTCCTCAGGCTTGAAGATGCCCTGGCGCTGGCTGGCGGTGGCTGGAGAGGTGCCCGTATTTGTCATGATGGTACTTCTGTGCTTTATGCCCAACTCCCCTCGCTTCCTCCTCTCCCAGGGCAAGGAAGAGGAAGCCCTGAAAGCCCTGGCCTGGCTCCGAGGGAATGACACAGACTTCCAAAGGGAATTCCAGCAGATCCAGAACAGTGTCCAGAAACAGGTAAGGGAGGCAGACATTACCATATGAAACTGAGTGCCAATGGGAGCATCACATGATAAAGACTTGGTCCTGAGTTCTTAACCTAGAGTCCATGTACTTTTAAAAATTTGATAACTATATTTCAATATAATTGACTTTCCTTGTAGTCCTATGTATTTTATTCATTTAAAAACATTCTGAGAAGGGGTCTATAACTTTCACCAGGCTGATGAAGGGGTCCAAGACACAACAAAGGTTAAGAATCCCTAGGCTAGAAGAGCCAGGGCCTCCTGCCTCAGGGGAAGCCACTGGGTGACCCAGACAGGGCTCCTCTTCATTGGCCTTCTTTCAATGGGCTACCCTAAGTTTGTACCTCAAGCAGGTACAAAGTTCTTCATCCTTCTTAGGGGAGGATGACTAGAGCTGTAACTCACAATTCTTTTGGGTAGAGAGAAGAGAGGGAGGGAAGAAAAGGACAAAGACATGAGGCACAGAGAGTCTAGGACACCCCAAGTGTGTTGCTGTGGAGGATGCTGTTGGGGGAGGAAACCCCAAAAGGCTATGCCCGTATGCCTCAGCCCCTACCCCATGTCTCCAGAGCAGTCGACTGTCGTGGACTGAGTTACGGGACCCTTTCATCTACAAGCCCATTGCCATTGCTGTTCTGATGCGATTCCTGCAGCAGCTAACAGGTGTCACACCCATCCTGGTCTACCTGCAGTCTATCTTCCATAGCACTGCTGTCCTGCTGGTGAGAACAGTACCCAATCCTGCCCCATGCCGCTTGCCCAGGGACCTGACTGATATCTGCCTTACCCATAAGGAGAGCAAGACACTACCTATCACTAGAGGATTGGGGGTGGGGCATGCTTGAAGAGGATACCATGTGCCTCACTGTACCCTGCCTACTACTTGCACCAGTACCTGAAATCCCCCCATTAAAGTGGTTCCTTTGGGCTAAGACACTTTCCAGAAAGCCCCTGTGAGAATGTATGGCTATTTCTTGGAAGGCAGGCACAATCATATCCCAAAACAAGCAGCATAGACTGAACTGTCTGATTACCTAGCAGAGAATTCTGGGGAAATGGGACATGGAATGGGTGAGTTTTGATGGGGAAGGGTCAGGAAAAGTCTAGTACAACTTCTTCATAACTTTTATGGGGCTCCTCAAATGCCCAAGCTCCATCCCATGGCCACTGCATTGAAGCTGGACATAGCACTAAACCCTGAGACAGTGAGTTCCCCTCCCCAACCCCTTCATTCCTTCACCTCATCATGAGACATTGAAAGCCAAGGGCAGACTGATAGGACCTCCTAAATCCTGGGAAGCCCCAGCCCTGGTCCTGCCCTTGAAAGCTGCCAGGATAGGAGGGAGGCCAGGCTTGGGAGCACTGACATCCCCCACCTCATGTGTCCTAGCCTCCAGAAGAGGATGCAGCCATCGTGGGGGCCATGAGGCTCGTCTCTGTGCTAATCGCAGCTGTCACCATGGACAGAGCAGGTCGTAAGATTCTTCTCTTCGTCTCAGGTATGGCCACAGCCCTGCTCCCTCCCCATTGCCCTCCAACGCTCATCCCTGGTTTTGAGACCTCCTTGTCCTCTTGGTTCACAGCATCCATTATGTTTGCGGCAAACCTGGCCCTGGGACTCTATATCCACTTGGGTCCACAGCGGCCAGTCTCCAATACCACCATGGATCTGACCAATGTGGCCCTTGAGAGTTCAGGGTCAGGGAGCTACCTTATGCTGGTACCCCTCTTTGCCACCATGCTCTTCATCATGGGTAAGTGCTGCCTGAGTTTCCATCCCCCAGGGTATGGGCAGGAATGAGGGGTTGAGAGGGTGGGAGAAGTTAATCTATCAGCATATCCTGGGGGGCCTGGGTCAGTTCTGTTCCCAAAGCCTTGCCTGGAACCCAAAAGGGTTATTGGGATTCTGGAATGAAACGCATATTTTATGCGTACCTACGTAGTGGTGATTGGTGTGTGACTGTAGTGTATGAGCTTGTGAATGGGGAGATGGTCTGTGATTTGCGTGGAGTGGTGGATTGGGTCTATGTGAATCTAAGGATATGTATGTGGTGGGGGCCTGGACTATGGTGCGTGGATAACTGTGTGTGGGGAAGGGGGCGAATCTGACTAAGACGCCCTCTGAGCCAGCATTATCAAAGGCATAGAGGCCGAGGGTAGCTGGTGGTAGGGATGTAGAGTGGACAGATGCCTCAACACTGATAGTCTCAGGAAGCCTATCTGATTATAGGGTTCCCAAGACAGAACAGTGGATACTGCACTGGGCCTAGGGTCAAAAAGACCTGGGTTCAAATTTGGCTTCAGACATTTACTAGCTATGTGACCCTGGGAAAGTCACTTAACTCTGTTTGTATCAGTTTCCTCATCTGTAAAGAGCTGGAGAAAGAAATGGCAAACCACTCTAGTATCTCTGCCAAGAAAATGGTGCCACGGAATTGAAATGACCGAACAAGATAGAGGAGAAGTTCCCTGCAATGGGGTTGGAAAGGGTAGGCTGTGGGGGGTAGTCACTCCCTTAGGGAACAGGGCTTTCTCTTTTCACAGAGTCATTTTCACCCTCTACTACCCACCTTGGGTCTTGCTCACTCTCTTTCCATCAGGCTATGCCATGGGCTGGGGCCCTATCACATGGCTTCTCATGTCTGAGATCCTCCCACTGAAGGCCCGAGGTGTGGCCTCAGGGCTCTGTGTGCTGGTCAGCTGGCTCACAGCCTTCGTGCTTACTAAGTCCTTCCTGCTGGTGGAGGTGAGTCCCATTCCGTTTCACAAGGTCCAGATATAGGCAATAGAGATGGGAGGGAAAGGGCTAAGAAGGGGGGATTCTTTCAAAATGACCCATCCAGTTCTAATGTCAGTGACTCCAGCCACCTGCGCTCCATCCCTGGATGTGGTCATTTATTCATTCATCCATTCATTCTTTTATTAGTTCATTTGTTCTAATAACATTTGCTTGATATAAGTAATGCACCACGCTGGGTGTTGGGGACACTCTCTGCTCTCGTGGAGTTTATAGTGTCATAGCAGGGAGAAAAAATTTCAATGAATATAAGGCAAAATGTGATGTGGCAAAAGTACAAGTGTAAGGAGGGCAGCCATTTAGGCGTAGCTGCGGGAATGCAGGACAAAAGTCACTCACTAGGCTCTCTCTGCTAGCTCCCAGGGCAGGACATGAGCTGAAAGAAATTCACTAACCTCAATGCAAACGTTAAATAACTCTAACTTGGCCCTCCTTACACCTGTCGTTTGTCAAGAAGGAAAGAGTCCCTGGGAGGCGGCACATGTCAGAGAAGCATTCTTGGAGGAAGTAGCATTTAAGACATAAGATTTCAGAGGTCAAGACATAGAAGTGTACGTTCTACACAGGGGAAGTGTCATGGGCAAAGTCAGAAGGGCTTGCATAGATAGGTAGTTAAAAAGGATTATTAGGGGGCAGCTAGGTGGTGAAGTGGATAGAGCACCGGCCCTGAAGTCAGGAGGACCTGAGTTCAAATCCGACCTCAGACCAAACACTTAACACTTACTAGCTGTGTGGCTCTGGGCAAGTCACTTAACCCCAATTGCCTTAAAGAAAAATAAAATAAAAAGGTTTATCCAATTTATGGAGTGAAAGCATGCAGCCTATTTTGTGAACCATATCACAGGTGCAGAGGCTCCAAGTAGAGGAGAGTAGTGTGAGATGAAGTTAGAAAGGTAGCCTGGGCCTTGAAGGGCCAGGCTGAGGAGCTTAGGTCTTGTTATGCAGGCAAGGGGGAGCCAGGGAAGGTTTCTGAGTGAGGCAAGGATGTAATGAAAACATCCCTGAGGTTGCTTGTCAACAACTGCCAAGTAGTTTCAAGACTCAGCTGCTTCCTGGGGCTTTAGAGCAAAGGGTCTGTCTCTCCATGCAACACATTGATACTAACTGGGCTGTTCTCATCCCTCCCCTTTTCCCTTCCCTATATTCTACAGAATGCTTTTGGCCTTCAAGTCCCATTTTACTTCTTTGCTGCTGTGTGCCTGGTGAATCTAGTCTTCACAGCCTGTTGCGTGCCAGAAACCAGGCGCCGGACCTTGGAACAAATTGAATCATTCTTCAGGACAGGGCGAAGGTCCTTCCTGAGATAGGAAGGTGCCTCAGCCTCCCGGGCCAGGAGGAGAGATCAGACTTTGGGGGACTGGGGGGTCCTCAGAGGCAGGGATCAGGAGGTGACAGCAACACCAGATGGAAGTGGGAAGAACTGACACTACCTTCTGATCGAGAAGTGGTGCCCAGCTCTGTCTCCAGAGATTCCTGGTCTCAGCCTCCCGCTATACATAGAGTTGATTTGAATATGGCCCTCCAACTCCACCTGGAAACCTCTAGAGTCACACTGCCCCCAGACTGCTAGATTCTGTGGGCCAAGCAAGCAGAGCCCAGGGAGAAGGCCAGAGACAAGGGGCTAGTTTTCATTAATCAACTGAGATCAGAGAATCAAGATCCAAGAGAGCACTAGACAAGGAGAAGAGCCAGCTCCAAAGCCTGGCTCTGCCACCAACCTCTCTCTCACCCCATTACCTTCCCTGTTCATTGGGCATCAGAATTCCTACCCTGCCTGCTTTGCAGCAGAGTGATCATGAGGATCAAACAAAATAGTGAATTTGACTGTATTTTGGTAACCAGGAAACCCTATAATAACATGAGAAATCCTTGTTACTGATTGATATGTACCTCTAGGGGGATGTGGCTTCTGGGGACTGGTGAGGCAAGAACCTACTCACCAATAACTGGTCAATGGCTGTTGCCTGGGACATTTATCAAAGACCCCAGAGATCTGAAGGGGAGGCAGAACACAGGTCACAGGAACTTAACAGTGGAGCTGTTGAAATCAAGCCCCAGGTTGGGTGGAAAGCTGTCACCTAGCTCTGAGGTTTCCCCCCATGACCTCACACTGCCTTTTCCCCTTAGGGGAGAAGAAAGGAGAGGACGGGAGCTGGCCAGTCCACAACCTCTTTAGAGAGGAGAAAAAGAATGAAAACACCCTCCTGCTGCTCACATTTCACACAAATCCCCCAGTAAGTCCATGTCTAAAGCCCTTTGTAAATGAAGATGATATACTTTATGCATTATTTCCAAGGGGGGGGGTGGGTTATAGTGGGATTGAGTTAACCTAAACCATCCACATTCACTTGCCCAGCTGCTCATGATTAATAAACTTTCAAGATAATTAGCTGGGATCAGGGTCCAGTCTGTACTCATAGAACAGAGCAAACCTCCTTTGACTACTACTACTACCACCACCACTTACTACATAATCTTTTCCACACCTTGGGGTTCAGTCTTCACCTTTGTAAAATGGAGGTGGACTAGATAATCCCTAAGGTCACTTCCAGTCCTTACATGCTGTGATTGTGGGAGAGCAAAGCTCCCTGGCCCACAAAGGAGACTAAATCCAGAACCTGATCTCTTTTTGTACAGAATTCCATAACTAGCTGGGTTGCCCATTTTCCATGAAATAAAAACCCAAACAGAACTTTTCAGAGGGCACAGGACAAATCACTGGAGAAATCTGGGTTCCCCAAATACATCCTCACCCCAGCTCAGGCTTGGTTCACAGTATTTGTCAGGCTTGGAAGTACAACAATTGGCCGTCTCTTTCCATCCAGTCATGGCCTAACCAACTTTGCCCTGATAACATAAGAGTCATTTAGTATGGAAACCTTTCCTCATCTAGCCTTAATTACCACTGTCAGAGATAGTCAGTTCCTCACCCCTGCCCCAGGAGAGCTAGGTTTTGGCAAAACTGTGAAGCTTCCTCAGTAGCCTAGAAAAGGTTTGATGGGGTTGAGGAAGGGTGGTCAAGGTAGAGAATGTAACCGCTGGTTTAAATATCTGAAGAGGGATTAGATTTGTTATAATTGGTTCCAGAGGTCACAGTTAGATTGAATTACCAGGAGACAGGTTTCAGCTCAAAGTAAGAATGAACTTTTACAGTCATCCAACATATAGTGACCTCAAAATTTAGTGAGGTCCCTATCAGTAGAAGTATTCAGAGCCAGATTAGTCACCTGTCAAATTCGCCATAGAAGTGATTCCTGCATGGGACAGGAAGTTGAACAGATAGCCACTAAGTTTCCACCCAACTCTAAAATTCTGTAACCTCTGAACCCTTAATAATCCCTAAGATTCTAAAGTTCTGTAGGTGCCCAAGGCCCTAGGATTGCTCCTGAGCACCTCCTACCACCAGGAAAGAAATGATTAACACATTTGTGTAGAAGTTAATATAGCTCACTCTCAACTCATGCTCTCTTTATACGCGCACACACACACACACACACAGCTCTCACAGCTACACACACACACAGCTCTCACAGCTGCACACAGCAAGGGGACCCTCTATCTGAAAGTTCTGCCTCCCAGACCTAACCTACTGACCTAATGCGAAAGAACTCTGTGCTCCAATATCTGCTTCATCCAAAAGCTTCTAGAGACTTTATAGAGAATTTTACTCAATCTTCTTTATGCCTTATCCTGGTAGTCATCCCCAATGGCAACAACTTTGGTGGTCCCTATGATATGACTAACGTAGTTATTCCTGCCCCAAACTTCCGTTTGGTAAGCAACCCATCTCACTTGTTTTCAGGTTCACACATTCAGAAAAGGAAAGCTTTAAAAAAAAAAAGTCATACTGACAAATGCCACATTTTATTGCTCAAAATGCAAATTACACTGGAAACCTAAACAAGGAAAATCTAGATAGAAAAAATTCTGGAAGAGGAAATAAATATTCAAGTCTACAGCAAAACCCCCCGTGGCTCAGGATAGACAGATCTTCCTCAGACTCCCTTTGCCCTTTATTTTGGATATTATATAGTGCAATGGGAAGAACACTGGCCTGTGAAGCAGGAAACCTGGGTACTAGTCTTGGCTTTTGCCATAAACTCTACGTGACATCTCTCCTCTCTGGGTCACAATCTCATCTGTTAAGAGAGTTCTACTAGATGACCTTGAAAATTCCTTCCAATTTTATCACCGATTCAAAGCACCAATGCACCAAAATCCTCACGTCTGAAAAACAAACACCCTCCTTTCTTGGTTTAGGTTGGACACTCACAGCAACCCCTGAGGATGGTGTCTGCCCACCTTATGAAGGCTGCTTCTCAGGGATTTGGTATCCACTAGCAAACTTAAACAGAGCACAGGAATAAGGTGTCATAACACTCAACCTAAATGTCACCTGAATTCCCTGAGTAACTGCCTGAACTACAGTAGTATATATATAGATAGGCAGACAATACAAACCGTCAAAGGGGCCAGAAAGGCAAATGTAGGCCTGACAGGAGAATCATTCAGATCCACTACCAGACTCCTCTGTATACTGCAACCCCTCTGGAGTGAGATCTCTGCTGCTTAGTTTTTGCTTGATTTTTCAAAAAGACGACAGAAATCTCCCACTTCACTCTATAAGGAGGTAGAATGGTCTTCACTGCATACACAAAAAGATGGGATAATCCTGCAAGCATTTGCTGCCTTCTCCAACAATGCTCTCAATACAATGCTCTTCAGATCCTGTTTGGGCCACTTATGGCTGAGGGTCACTGTAGTGATCCGTGAACTAAAAAATATCTCCAAAGAGAAATGGGCTACCTCCCTGAAGGCACATATGACTTTCTCCAGAGAGCCAAATCTCATTTTATCCTTAAATAGCTTGCTGAGACTAAGCTTGATCTGGCTCTGTGGACAGTATGGTTCCATACTAATATGCTTACCTGTTTCCACAAAGTCAACCATACCATGACTGTGACAATGGGGAGATCTAACATTTTCTAGAAAAGGTTTAATGCCTCACTTATCTAGTTTTGCACTTCTAGTGACACTGTCCAGGATGCCCACAGCTCCTGATGAAGTGTTTAACATCCAACCATTACTCAGCCCTTCCTGGTCACAAGGCTCCTGTGAGATTATGACTAGTGTTATATGTTAGACATTATTATGACTCTTTCTTGCTTGAGATGTACCAGCTCTATAGTGTTTTTACTTGTACAATAGTTGGGCCTCTGATAGCCGATATAAAATATTATATAGGGATCAATCAATCCCTTTGCACCCAAAAAGGAATAAGGCCTGGCCCACTATAAGGGCCTACACTAGTTCTTCTGAAAATTTTAACAGTGACAGGTCCTTACATGTCCTAGGGACTAATAAATGCTGACTGCTGCCATCAGTGACCTGGATGTCAGTTAAGGATACTGATAAGTGATAGGAAGAAGCCACCTAGGCCACAGGACGCAAACAGGTAGAGGTCAGTTATATCATTGTCTTAAAAAATACAAAAGAGTAACATCAGCAACAAACCCCCAAAGGTTTCATCTGGTCAAAAACTCAAAGGTTAGGATGAATTCCAGTGAGCAATGACCTTGCCAGTGGGGAAGTCTGGGATATAAATTCTCCTAGAGATACACACAATGGCTCAGTTTGGGTGTCCAGCTCCCAAACAGTTTGTACTCTCACAAGCTAAGTCCAAAGCCCTTGAGGGATGGAAGGTGACAGATAAAGTCTGTTCTCTATACCTAACTCCCAGATCTACCTGGAATCAGTAAGTAATTAAAATTGCAGCAAGAAGAAAGGAAGGTGTGAAACACCTTCCCACAAGGTAAAATCTTCTGAAATATTAGCAGAGGACCCATATCCCCAGCCTCCCCCCACCTTCCCCAAGCCAACCTGGCACAACTAAGTGCATGGGTCTATTTCATGCCTTGGCTGGGCTGTCCTCTAGTACTCCCCATTCAGCAGCAACCCTGGAAGTCCTTTAGGGCCAGTGACCAAAGGAACTCCAGAGAGGATCATTCTTGTCCCAGCATAAGATAGGATCAAGTGAAACTTTTATACCAGCTCAGATCAGACCATTGCATAAAGACTGAATGATTACTGTAGTGATGTGTAGTTTGAAGTCACAGGCACTGGAGGAGATATGTCTGAAAAGGAAGGGTGGCAAATGAGATTAGTGAGTAGTCCAGGAAGCAAATAGCTTGTGGTGGAAGAAGAAATGATTCTAACGTGAGCTTCCTCTCCATGCCCAGATCCCAATCTAGGACAGATGTTAATGCCACAATGTAGAGCAGCCTCAGGCCAAAACCACCATTCCTGCCTTTAATTTGGGGTAGTATGCCATATATCTCACCCTGGATTCATTACCAGACACCTGCATCTCTACTGTAGCTCATACAAGATGATTCACTGGGCTTGAGGGCTTGGAGGAAGAAAAGGTATAATGCGGGGAATATATCTCAACATGGGAAAGAACAGCAAGTGCAAACATTTAAGAATGGATGGTACAAGTAGGGACTTTGGGCTTCGGAGTCAGCTGGTGTGATTTCTGCCCACATCCCCATTGGTCTGAAAGACAGATCCATCTTCAGAGATAATGAACCCAAAACTACAGTCCAAGAGGCCATAGAGGAAGGTTCTATTTTGGTCAGTTCTAAATTGACTTGAGCTATTTCCCACACATGTGGGACCTGGGTCACTGAAGAAGACCTGCATCAGAGCCCCTGCTCTAGGCTCACCTAGAGGAAGGCTCAGGAGTGCTTCTCTGTACACCTTAGCACCAAGCACCTCCTGCTGATAGCGGGGCTTGGCTACCCCCTGGTCCCAGGAGGCCAATGGGGAATCACCAAGTGACAGGCAGGATGGCATGTAGAGTGATTTGCATAAAATCCCATGAAAATTCAGAGGTAAGTGAAGGGAATATCACTGGGACTGCTCTTCCCCCAACACTTCCCATGGTTTCAGGTTATTCTCCCTCCTGTAGGAACCAGTCAAGAACCTTCCTGGGCCTGTAGCATGCTGAGGGGAGCACAGTAGCCAGTTATCCTAGCCCTGAGCTCCAGCTGACCCCAGCACTACCAGGGTAGGGTCAAAGAAACTACTGGGAGGAGACACATCTCACATATTAATAAGCTCAAGTCTATCTTTTCACTCCAAAGCCTTTTGCATCCCCAGTGAGATATAAAGAAGAGGTGATCAGAGAAACTGGAAGATCCTTTACAGACAGCTTATAAGGATCCAGAGCTTTCAAAGTTCCATAACTTGATGTAGCAAGTGGGGGAAATGGAGGGACAAAAGGCAAAGAGGAAGAAATAGGAGGCTAAGCTGGGCCCAAGATCAAGATGATGCCTCATGCCTACAGATAGCTCTGGCCCTGACCTCCTGAACCTGACTCCTAGTGAAGGCAGATTGAAAACCAGACTCTGGCCTCTTGAAATGCAGCCCCTGCCATCACTGAACCACACTTTGTCCCTGATTCAGAAATGGCCTTGAATGTCAGTTTGATGTAACAGATGTAATGGGAATGTTTTGCCCTGTCCTGTACAGCAAGGCCAGAATCCCAGGTATCTTCTACCTCTGAAGAACAGGGATGAAAGATTCTTTCAGTTAGTTTCAGGTAGTGGAAATGGGGAAGCAGTGTTTACTCCCACACCTCTATTGGGTCATTAGATAATTTTCAAAATATATTAAGTATGAAAGTCAATCTGGCAGCCAGTCACAAACTAGTCTATAGGGGCAGCAAATGTGAAAGTTGCTTGCTCTGCACCATTTCCAACTGAAGAACTCATGGCCCCAGGAAGCTGGGCAGCCAAACTTCTTCCACAGGACTCCTGTCTTCCAGACCTGTCTTGTGATTCATGATTTCTGCTCCAATTTTCTGTAGTGCCTGCCGCAGACCTTGTTAATTTCATCCCTGGCTGACCTGGAGTCAATAGGCAGATCCAGGTCAAAAGATGCAAGTCTGGTGAAGGATGCAAGAATGTCTTCAACTGACAGGGTGAGAAAGATGGAGAGGCAGGAACACCTGAGTTAGTGTTTCCCAAGCACTCACTATACACTAGGCACTGTCCAAGACTCTCTAATTAAATGCTTTTCTCAAAGTTGCCATGTGCTGACACATAGTCCTTGTCTTCTCCACTCCACTTTGACCAAGTGTCTGTCCTCCCACAGAAAGGGAAGGTGTGAAGGCCAGCAAACCGGAACTAGAGAAGAAAGGCTCATCTTAAGGCCACAGAGGAAGGCCCCGATCCTGGGCCAGATGCTCACAGCTCCCCTTCGAGGGTCCCTGTCAGTTTCTCCTCATCTGCCTGCTGCTTCTGCTGCTGGATCCTTGCATAGGAAATTGCATCACCCCTATGAGGAAAAAAGGAGTCATGATACCGTCAGACAGAGCAATGAGTAAGAATCAAGAAGTAAACTATAATTTTCCTCCTGTAGGTTGAGACTGAATTTAGGGTGGATTAAGCTACACCAAAACTCTATAAACATTAGTTACAGGTTCTAAGGAACTTGGTCCCTTGGGTCAATTTTGTTAGGAGAGATGTAGGGAGATGCTAAGTTTTGTGAGCATAGGGTGTTTTACTTGGTGAGTTTTAAACCAGAAATAGTTTGACCGACCCTGTCCCCAACTTGTCATATCCACAGTCCTATTGTGAGATGGGCTATTCTGCTGTCAATTGTTCTGCCTCGAAGCTGACTGGGATTACTGTCCTCTGGCACCAATTCTTCCCAAAGACCAACCACACCCATAGGGAATCACAGAGCAGGAAGGGACTTTAGAGATGGTCTAGTCCAGGGGTAGGGAACCTGCAGCCTCGAGGCCACATGTGGCCTTCTAGGTCCCTGGGTGCAGCTTTTTGACCGAGTCCAAGTTTTACAGAACAAATCCTTTCATTAAGGGGATTTGTTCTATGAAGTGTGGATTCAGTCAAAAGGCCACACTTGAGGACCCAGAGGACCACATATGGCCTCAAAGCTGCAGGTTCCCCAACCCTGGCTAGTCTGACTCCCTTATTTTAAAGATGGGGAAACTGAGGCCCAGAAAAGGGAAGCAATTTGCTAAGGTCCCACAGGTGGTTAGTGGTAGACTCAGGTCTCCTGACTCCAAGTTTGGTACTCTATCTGCTATGCTGGAGCTTCCTGTTCTCATCTGGCCTCCAGCTAAACTCCAGGAGTTGGTAAGAAATAACCTGCTAGGGAGTCAGAAAACCAGAGAGATTACCAACCTGAGTGTCACTGATGCCCCATCTCCTACTCATACCTACTCTTTGTTTCTACAATGTCATATTCTTCAACTCCATGAGTCTTTGCATTTGACCCCCAACTGATTTGGTGACTGGCTCTGCTCAGCCCTTTGGTTTTCCTGAAAGAGTACCCCTGTAGACTGTCAGAGAAACCCAATGGAACTCTCCAGCCAGAGGATGACATGCCAGGAGTCTCGGGCATGTTTAGCCTGTCTTTCTCCGTAATGTGCTCCCTTGGGACCTTAAAGGGGGTATTAAGCCATCAGAAAAGCTGAACTGATGATCTTGGTCAGCCGCTGCATTACTACATGGTCTTGACTTAAAATGGAAAGAACCTCCAGATCCTCCTTAGTTACAGGTGTCAGGACAGTCAACAACAACAAATGACTTGGCAACATCAAAATTAGCTGAAGAAGCAGACGTACTTTTTGCCAAGTGCAGAAAGTCCATAAAGCACGCCTGTGCAGAAGGCAATAGCGTTTCCCAGGAGGGTGGTCAGAGTCAGGCTGATGACTATGGGGAAAACTGCCATCCTGTGGAGAAACAGACAAGAAAACCAGAGATTAGGGGGGCTCCTTAGAGGCAGACTCCTCCACACTTACTTGTAAGTACAGTTGCCCCCCTTAATTTCCAGACCAACTCCACCTCACTCTGATCTTCCACTTGGAGATCATCTAGTCCAGAAGTTCCCAAATTTATTAGGCCTACTGCCCCCTTTAAAAAAAAAAATTACCCAGCACCACCCTGGAAATCTACTTTCTTTAACCCTTTAGCATTTTTTTAAAAAAAATTTTGTATCACCCAAGGCTACTTGCCTCCCTGGATCGTTCCAGAGCCCCCCAGGAGGAGGAACCTATGATTCTAATCCAACCCTCTCCTTTTAAAGATGGGGAGACCAAGGTCCAGAGACAGACTATGACTTATCTAAAGTCACACAGCAAATTAGTGGCAAAGCTAGGCCTAGAACCTGGGTCTCAACTCCCTGGTCAGTCCTCTTTTTACAATAGAGGATCTATTCCTGTTGCATCCTATATCTGAGCTACAGGGGGAATTTCAGGGTTTCATACTTTTCTGTATCACCATAGCACTTAGCACAGAGACAAGCACCCAAAATTTCCACATCTGATATGCAAGGGAGATATTGCCTCAGTACTGAGGCATTCATCTGATTCTGTGTTTGGCCACAGTGTGTCTCCACCATTCTGTTTCATGGATACATATGTCTTACATTTATTCTACTATGACTGTAAGCTTGCATGTAGGGACAATGTCTCCTGTCTCTCTGACTCTCCATCTCCACAGAGTAGCTAATACAGGCTAACTTGAGTGCTCAGTAAATACTTAGTGAAGTAACTTCAGCAGAGTATCTACAAGCAAATGCGAAGCTAAGCTCTTCACAGAATTATGGTAAATACTGTTATGAAGCTACCCCTCAATCTTCTCCTCTCTACTTGCTCAATCTCAGTTCCTATTCTCCTAGCAGGTAATGTTTAAGTGGGAAAACAATGGATTTGAAAAGGGAAAACCATTTGGAATAGTTTGCATCTAGCAGTCCTAGCCATTGTGCTCCAGGCCAGAAGCCAACAAACAGTTAATGCCATGAAGTTTTTCTGACTGCTGGTCAGGTCTCCTTACCCACAGTAGAAAACAGCCTTCTGCCAAGACCTTAGCCGGTCAGCCTTGTCAGCAATTGTATTTGCAAACTCGATGAACTGGCAACAGAAAGGTGCCTCACACAAAAATAAAATGAAGGCATTTAACCTGTAGGAGGCAGAAGAGAAATGGTGAAAGTCAAATGGCTGGCCAATTGTACAGGGCAAACCAAACCCCACTCAATGACTTGTCCCAAGCATGCTAATCTGTCATTCATATTGTTAAGGAAAAGGACTCTAAGAAGGATGTAAAATGCTCTCCCAAGTTTCTCAGCCACGGATCTTAATCCTACCCATTCTACAAGGGATAGTTCAAGCTGTACTTCCTCCAGGAAGCTATCCTTGGCCCTAAGGCCACAAACCTCACCCTTCTTGGAATGCTACTGCACATAGCACCACCACAATTTAGCACTTATTCTCTAACTGTTTTCTAGATGTTCATTTTATTTTTCCAACTACCATGTAAATTCCTTGAGGTGAGATTCTAGGTCTCATACTTCTCCTATACTCTTCTTATTGACTATCACAGAAGCAAGTGTTTTACATAAATTATCTGATTTTTAAGAATGTGCCCACTGGCCAAATGATAGCTGGGGGGAAAAAATCTCTGCTTAGCAGAAAAATAATTTAAAAACAAGTTAGACTCAAGACCCTTGGAGCTGCAGGGACCCCAAATGACCATATTATCCAGCCCACTCTTAGCTGGGCAGGGCGTTCCACTATTAACTCACCATGTAATCCTGGATACGGCACTGCCTTTCGGGCTTCAGCTGTCCTCCTCTTTAAAACAAGGGTTTGAATTACAGTTTCTAAACTCTCCTACACCTCTTATAATTCTGCCATTCTATGAATATATAAGCCAGTAGGAACAAATAGACAGCTATCTTTATAAAATTCTCTGGACATAAACTACTACTCCCCACTCCTCTTTAGTTTTTAATTCTTTGCATTTGTAATCTATGAAAAGCAAGTTCTTTATGTTTAACCAAACTCCCTTTACATATAATTTTTAAAACTACCTGATACATCTAGTTAGCAACTCCCTGTTTTCTCTTATTTGATCCTCAGTGGAACTGCTCAGCTTATTCTTTGCAACTAACTTTTCAGTCATATGAGGAATATTGACCTTTTCTTCTCTACCAACTCTTGAAAAATGGCCTACTTTCTATCTCTTTGGGAGCTCCTCTCTGGACCTTCTCCAAGGTCTATATCTAGCTTTACCCAATACCTCTGCCCCCCCCAACGAGATGCTATCACTGACCTGCTTCTCCCACCCATGACCTCACCATCTATGTGAAGGGACTAGTTTCCACTCCAGCAGGAAGCATGTAAGAGTGGGAGACAGGAGCGTGGGAGGTGGGAAAAAAGCCCAATTCCTCAATATTCCCTTCAAAAATAGGCACAAAAACACTAAAATGAAAAGTAACTACTAGAAACTCTCAAAAAATAATTTTTAAAGAAAAAAAAACCTCAAAAACAAATAAAGAAGAGTTCCAACACAATAAAAGACTATGAATTAATAGAAACAGAGGCAGAAACACCAGAAAGAAATAACTAAAAATCATATGATTGAGGTAGACCTTGACTCACTATCAGGCTGATTTCAGGGTATTCTGATAGTTGGTACCTTGTACAGAATCCCCAATCTTCCTACCCCAAGTTTATTAATGCCACTTGTACCTACATACTCCTATATTACAGCCTGGTTCTCATAGTCCTGGCATCCACCTGATATTCCCAGTTCTGCTGCTGCTCAGGGTCCCAACAAGATATTCATTTTTTCCAAATTCTTTTTACAATGTGGAAACCCATGCATAATGCTCCGATAAGAGTCTGAGTATGAGACTCCCTATCTGAATCTAGGTAGGAAAGGAGTGAGGGAAGGAGAGGAGGAAGGAAGAAGGAAGGAGGAGGAAGGAAGAAGGGAAGCAGGGAGGGAGTGAGGGAGGGAGGAAGGAAGGAGGAAGGAAAGGTTTATTAAGCACTTACTAGGTACTAGACACTATGCTAAGCACTTTACAAATATCTCATTTAATCCTCACAAGAATCTTGGGAGGTAAGTACTATTATTCTCCCCATTTTACAACTGAAGAAACTAAGACAAAGAAGGCTTAAGTGACTTGCCCATGGTCAAATAGTATCTAAAGGCATATTTGAATCCAGGTCTTCCTGACTCCAGGCCCAGTGCTTCTATCGGCCAGTTGCTTCAAAAAGAGGGGTAGAACATATATATGAATGTTAAAAAAAAAAAAAAAGAGCCCTGACCTGAAAATCACATCCACTCAACAGACCACCCAACAGAGGCAAGATCAATGGTGTTACTTACATCATCCACACACCAGCTGCAATGTTGAGTGGGTGAATGGTGATACAGTTGAAGAGGCCAGAAATTGCACAAGCTTGAAAACAAGAGATATTTACTAGAATTAGCAGCAAAAAAGAAACAATGCCAAGCAGGAATCCTGGCTGGAACTCTGCATTATTAAATAACTAAAATCCCTTAGGTTTGTCTAACAACTTAAACTTTACAAAGTACTTTTATACATATTTACTTATTTGAGAAATAAGCTCAGAGAAGCAAAGTCACACAGGGAATCAGAGGACAAGGTCAAGTTCAGTTCTCTTCACCCAACTTCATGCTGACACTACTACAGTGCAAGAAATCTGACTCTATGGCAGACAGGAATATGGTCTTCTCTAGTATTTTCCCTGGAATCCAGACCAGTGCTCTGAAAGCAGTGAGCTCTCAATGAAGAGTCATACTAGACAATGAGGATGGGACAAGAGGAAATCAATCAACAAGCATTTATTAAATCTATTATGTGCTGGCCCTTGGCTACTATGTCCTAGGGATTTTTGCTCTCATTCTACTGAGGGATACCTATTGAGGGTAGAAGAAATCTGTCTACTGGCAAACATAAGGGACAGAAAGGAAACCATCCATTGTCCCTAAGAAGCTTTCATGCTATAGGGAAAGAATATATATCCAGATAAGTATATACAAACGAAGGTAAAGGGGGGATTGGGGAGGAAGGGGGGAAGATTAGCAGCATTGGGATCAGGTAAGGCTTCACACAGAAGATGATGCTTGGGCTTAGCCTGGAAAGAAACCAGAGATCTAAGAGCTGGAGGAGAGGAGAGTGGGCATTCCAGGTCTGGAGGACAAAGACATGGAGTCAGGTGATAGAGTGCTCAATGTGAGGAACAGCAAAGAAGACGAGTCTGGCTGGACCACTGTGTGTGTAAAGGGAAGTAATGTATCAAAAGGCTGGAAAGGTAGGATGGAGCTAGACTGGGTATCACTTTAAACCCCAAAAAGAGGAGCCAGTACTTTACTCTAGAGGCAGAAGAGAGCCACTGGGATTTATTGAGCAAGTGATGTGACCAGAACCTGTGCTCTGGGAAAGATGTGGTTAAGGAGAATGAGCAAAACTGAGTCAAACTCACTTGAGCATGGGGGCACTGGTGCCTCTTCCAGGCACAGAGAAGCTCACTACAAAGAGAGGAAGGTAGATCCTAAGCTCAAATATGACAACTAAGCAAGGAAAAGAAGCCTGAGGCCTCACAGCAGGGTGAGGCAGCCATCAAACAATCCATTAAACTTGCACCAGCTTTTCTGCACCTGATCTGGCTAACACGGACTGGATTTCTCCAGTGAAATTTTATCTGGGTTACAGGAGATAGAGGAAGGAAATGAACAAGCCAGGCCCAAAGCCAGTCATCTACCCTCCCGCAAGAAGACTCCAGGGGCTATTCTTCCTTCTGCTGCTGATGAGGCTTGCTACCTAAGTTCTGGATTAATTCAATTCAAAGAACATCTATTATATTAGCACCTCTTACACACAAGGCATTGTGCTAGATGTAGAGACACAAAGATTAAAAAATAATAATAACAGGCTTCTAGCCCTCAAGAAGTTGACCTTCTATGCAGAGCATGAAACACGTGGTAATTTGAGGAAGGAGAACAAACTAACAACCTGGGAGGGGGAGTCGGTCACAGAATCATAAAACTTTAGAACATTTAGTCCAGACTCCTTATTTCACAGCTGGGGAGGCCAAAGTGCAGTGTTGGCAGTACTTAACTCCAGGTAATACAGGATGATGGCCCAAATGGTGACAAAACTAAACTTCTGGACCCCCACCACCACGATTCTTCATCAGCTGAGGATTTGCTCACACAAGTCAGTCAGGGTAGGGAGTACAGACAGAATGGAAAGTTTAGGAGCAAGGGTTCTATTGGGAACTTGCAGGAAGAAAAGTAGTTCTTTTCTCTAATGTTTTCTTTCCTTGTGAAAAAATTAAAAAGGTTTTTTTTGTTTGTTTTGTATTCTTTAACTGGGTTATATGGTAAAGAAAACAGAAGACTGAAGGCTTTGGGCTTCACAGGATTCCTCTGACAGTTAGGACCCCAACATACCAACAGCAATACTGTTTTAAGAACACTGAGCCACCAAGTCATTCTGACTATTATAAATCCCCATATTAACTACAAATGTCGGGTGCTATGAGGGAAGATGCTATCTGCATCCAGAGAAAGAATTGAGATATATATACATATTTGTGTCTAATGGCAGCCATCGCTTTAGAGATGGGAGGAGGAAAAAACGAAAGTCACATGATAATTTTGTTGTATATTTAAAATGAATAGCAAGTAGAGTTGCAGTTTCAGGTTCAATCCTCTTTTTTTCTACTCCACTTAGTTATGGAAATGCTTGTTTTATTTAAGTTCAGAATTTTTAAAAACAAATTTTTTTAAAAGGACCCCAACATACCTATATAATTTCTTTTGATTTCTAGATTACTTTGACAGGTCAGGGCTCTTTCATTAAAGAGAGAAGAGAAGAAGCCTAATACTTTACAGACCTCACATGTCTCCATAGTTTTCTACTCTTCCTTGTTTCCTCATCCATCTCTGCTATTGAAACCCTACTGATCCCTACTAAAATGCGAGCTCCTTTAGGGCAGGGAGCCTGTTCTTGCCTTTTTTGTATCCCCAGTGTTCAGCACAGAGCCTGGTACAAAAGCAAGCATTTAATGAATGCTTGTTGACTGACTCAAGGCCTCTTCTTTACCAAGAAGTCTTTGAGAAATCTTCCTGGTCAAAAGTCAATTCCATCCTCTTTCAAAGTCACATAGCACTCTTTTAAATGCTTCTGACATTCCAACTGGCATTATACTTCTAGGTGAATATTTGGTCTCCCCTACTAAATTGTGAGTTTTATGAGGGCAGCAACTGTGTCTTAATAACCTTTGTAGCCTGAGGGTTTATTGACCTTAGCCTGGGCTCCATGGCAGAGATCTAGAAGAGCATTGGTCCTGCAGTCAGACAAACTGGCTTTAAATTCTGCCTCTGAAACTTAATTATCCCAATGACTCTGGACAAGTTGATTAACCAATTTGAGCCTCATTTTCCTAAAATGTAAAATGAGGTTGAACAAGATCACCATTAAGGCCCTGAAGATCTTCGATCCTAAAAGAAATTATTATTTCGCTCTCATATTAATAATCAATTATTGGATTAGGATCAGGACTTTTTCAGAAGCCTGTAGCTCTTTCACTCCGGGAAGGGCACTACAGATAATAAGACTGAATTAACTTTCCTAACAATCTTATTCAGAACCCATCTAAGTGGGGAAGCCCATGATGTTCTTCAGGTCTGGGTGGAAGTAAATTCTTTGATTAAATTGCCCAAAACTGGGGTGATTTGGAAGTAAATGACATGTTCAAAGTCATGGTCTCTGACTCCTCATTAGTATAGGTCCACCTCTCATTATAATATTCATTCTCTCTCATTACTTGTTAACCAATCAGAGCTGATTGCCATCCTCAGGAACCTGAACCCTTCCAAGGGCATATAAGTGTTGACTGGGTTCCATGAGGGTCTTTGACATTGGAGAGTGTCACTGACCATTTCATTAATAGTATGCTAGTATTATTAATAAAATGATTAATTACTCAGAAACTACATCTCTTAAACTTTTTAAATGTCACAATCCTATGACCACTGTTCAATAAGTATTTAAAGAATTATATTGACTTCTAAATCGCTTTGTTGTTTCAAGGCCAGGGATAAGCAGGAACATTGAAACTACAGCAGTACTACATTAAGCTGTCACTGAGGGAAAGAGCTATTCCCCACAAGTAAATATTCCAAGTAACTAATGATTATTCCATTGTGATAATAATAATAATAATAACTAACATTTATGTAGCACTTACTATATGCCACTGTGCTAAGCACTTTACAATGATTTAATTTGGTTTTCACAGCAACCCTGCAAGGTAGATGCTATTATATCCCTGTTTTACAGATAAGGAAATTGAGCCAAACAGAGGTTAAATGAGTCACCCAGGGTCACACAACTAGGAAGTGTCTGAGATCAGATTTGAACTCCAGCCTTCCTGACTCCAGTCCCCTTGTACTTTTCCATCTAACTATAAATCTTTTTAATGGCCAGGCTCTAGTTCAGGACACCACCCTAATTCAGGCCTTCATCACTTGTCCTGCCGCATAGCAACAACCTCCTAATTGATCCCCCTGTTTCCAATATATTCAGTCTCTAATTCATCCTCCACTGGGTGCCAAAAGCACATTCGGCTTCTCAAGAATCTTTAGTGCTTCCCTTATGCCTCTAAGATAAAACACAAACTTCTCAACTTAGCATTTAAAGACCTTCAGTTTGGCTACTGCCTATCTTTCCAGGCTAATTTCATATGACTCCCCTTTTCATGTACTCTACATTTCATCCAAACTGCCCTACATTCTGTTCCTTTAACTCAGCACTCTATCTCCTCTCTCAAGTTGTCCTGCATGCTTGAAATGTACCAGCCTCCTCCTTTTTTAAGCTTTAATAATTTATTCTGTTATTCTGAATTTTAGAAACACCAAGAAACAGAACCATTTCTGTTGGAGTCAATCAACAAACATTTATTAAGTATTCATTATATGCCAAACACTGTGTTAAGTGCTGAGATTCAGAAGGTAAAAACAAAGTCTGAGTTTCTCAGGGAAGTCAAATTCTAATGGTGGAGAAGACATGCAAGATTTTATATATTTTTATATATATATATATACACACACATATATATAATGTATATATATATATATATAAAAGATATATACACTGTAAATGGAAAGTAATCTCAAAAGGAAGACACTAGTAGTGGGAATGACCAGCAAGCCTACTGCAGAAGATGGATCGATCTTGAAGAAAGCCAGGGAAGTAAATAAACAAAGATTATATGAGAAATCATAAATCTCTATTACACATCACTTTAAAAAAAAATATAATAAATAGAATATGAGTCCCTCTGAACTTCCTTCTGTTCTCTTCTGTGCATTTTTGTTTATTTTTTTAAAAAATACTTCAATGACCCTATTTTCTTTTTCTTTTTTTGGGGGGGGCAGGTATCATTATTACTAGTCCCTTCTTACCCATTTTTTAATAAAACCCTCCCTTGTAACAAATAAGCACTGTCAAACAATTGCACATACTGGCAATCATCAAAAATGTCTTGTTTCCTTCAGTACTTCTAGTCCATCATTTATGAGGAATCGGGCAGCATGCTTCAGCCTTGATTCTCTGGAGTCATGGCTAGTCAATGCATTGATCTGAGCTTAATGCATTCCCTCTTTTATCTCCTCTCTTAGGATCTTCAGCTTTCTTCAAGACTCAACTTAGGTTCAGGCAGTTTTATGAAAAGAAATTCAAACTACCTAAGGCCAAATCACTAATAATTAGAGAAATGCAAATTAAATCAATGCAGAGGTCCGCCTCACACCCATCAGATTGGCAAAGTGGACAAAAAAGGACAAGGACAAAGTTAGAGGGGCTGCAGGAAAACAAGAGCATGGACGCATGGCTGGCGATGCTGTAAATTGGTCCAAGCATTCTGGAAAGCAATTCAAACTATGCCCCCCAAATTACTTAACTATGCATATCCTTTCACCCATTAATAGCCCAAAAAAATTAAAGAAAGAGTAAAAGGTCCTACATGGACAAAAATATTTATAGCAGGTCTTTTTGTAATGGCAAAGAACTGGAACCTAATGGGGTGTCCATCTGGCGGGGAATAGTTGAACAAATTATGTATATGAATATAATGGAATACTACTGTGCTATAAGAAAAGTAAGAGATGGTTTCATAGAAATCAGAGACTTGTTGCAGAAGAAAGTGAATATAACCAGAAGAACAATGTATATCATAACATCATCATTATAAAAATAAACAATTTTTAATTCTGACCAAGATACTGTTTAGTCATGATTCTAAAGAACCAATGACGAAAAATGCTATCCACCTCCTTGACAGAGTTGACAGACTAAAATGCAGAATGAGATACATAGTTTTAAACACTGCAAATATGGGAATTTGCATTGTTTGACTATGCCTGTTATAAGGTTTTTTTTTGGGGGGGGACAATAAATGGTTGATAATTGGGAAAAAAATAAGAAAAAGATAATTCAGACACCACTTCCTACCAAGAGTCTTTCCTAATCCCCTTAGCGGTGTTCCCTGCTCAAATTATCTTGTTATTCATTTGTTTAAATGTCCTAACCCTTCAGTAAAACAGGTAAGCTCCTTGAGGGCAATGATCATTTTTTCATTTTGGATGCCTAACACAAGGTGCAAAATAAATGTTCGTTAAAATGAACTGAATGTATGACACACTTTCCTTGCCTTCTTAAAATGTAGATACAGTTAAAATTTTACTTAATGAAAGGTATCATTAAGAACATCCATTATTGGACTATAATGCCATCAGGGACTACTGAGGTATATAGGATTCTTTGCCTCTACCCTGATCCAACTGAGGTGGCTGGGCTTTTTTGTCTCCTATATAACAACTATTTCAGACGCCCAGAGATCTGTCACTTTCCCAAATCTCCCCACCTCCACCCCACCATCCCTTCCTCCTTTTTAACCTCTCTAGCACACTCAATGCTTAATATTAGTGGGGAAAAAGGGAGGCATGGCTAAGCAGATAATATACACATACATGTAAATACATATATATTACATATATAACACATGTATGTATATACACACATATATGTGGGGGGTGGAAATCTTTGGAATGCAATAGTTGCTCTTTCAAAAATTCATTTTCCTTCCTTTCTATACTTTCTCTCATATACCCCACTATTCACTGGTCTCATTGGGGAAGTTAGAATACTACTTGCTCCTCATTACTACTTCTAGACTTTCCCTCTAAACACCATCACTCAGCAACTTCTCTTCTTTTGAGGTTTACACTATTTAAATAACTAGCATTTAAATCGCACTATCAACAAATCCAGGTCCTGGTGGTCTTTCTCTACCAACCTCCATGCCATTCTCCTTTCTGCAATGAGTTCAGTGCCTGGTTCACAGTCTTTCTGACCTAAATCCTGTCCTCAAAATAGAAGGTTTCAGTATACAGACTGATACTTCTTCAAATCCAGTTCCTCAATCTACTTCTGACCTGTATTGGTAAAAGGGAATATCCTCATGTGGAGAGCTCTCTATACCAATAACATCACAGGTCCACTCCCTATCCCTAACTGTAACCAAGCACACATAATCAAATGTGAAAGAGGAAAAACTAGAAGTGGGTTGGTTAGCAGGAAGAACCTCAACCTGAGATCAAGCATTTGTCAGAGCTGGGAGTTGAGAAAATTCTTTCCTTAGTGTGCCAGTTTAAGCTGCCAAGGAGGAGAGGCCCACTAGTCTCCTCTGCCCTACCTAACAATGAGTTTCACCTCCCTCCCACCCGACCAAGAATACGTTTATTATTTCTACAAATATCTGTTGTACCTGTATTCTGTGACATCAGATCACCAGCCATTTCCTTCCCATCTATATCTTAGGGCTCAGAACCTTTTCCATTAGTAGCTTAGCAACTCTCCCATCGCAAAGTTGAGCTAATGGTAGGAGGTCCACTATCCCTACCCAAGGCCAACCCTTATTCTTTCATCTAGATCCTATCCAGTAACATAGTCCTATTGAGCCTACTGTCCCACATGCAGTGTGACTCTGGGTAAACCACTCCACCTCTGCCTCGGTTTCCTCATTTGTAAAATGGGGATAATAGTATCTACCTACCTCCCAGGTTTCTCGTAAGGATTAAATGAGATAATTGCAAAGCTCTTAGTTCAGTGCCTGGCACATAATAATACTATATAATAGTATTATAACTTATAACAATAATAACACTATACAAGTGTTGGCTACTAATTATTCTTATTTCTAAAGGCTCTTCCAACTCTAAATCTATGCTCCCCAGTCTATGTGCTGACATCCCTGAGGGCCAGGTCAGTTCTGTTCTTCATTTGCACCAGACACAGAGCTTTGAACATAGTAGGTATTTAACAACTAGAATATCCCCCTAGGAAATTTTTCCTCATCCGCTTCCTGTTGTGACATTCTGCTGTGTCAGAATAGAGTTGCACGGGCTTTTTATTTATTTATTGGGGGAGTGGGGGAACAGAGAAGCCACGGGAAGGGGAGCTGGTGAGAAAGGACGAAGCCAAAGACTCTACTCGACAAAAAGACGTTTCCAACCAACTGCTGCCGTGAATAAGGATAATGCTGTTGGGAGATCGACAGCAGGGGGATGTCGGGAAGGAAAAGATGGATGCGCTGCTTCATTCCTAGCCCTCCCCCTAAACAAAACGTGCTTTTCCATATAACACGTATGGAGAACCAGGATCCCAGACGGTCGGGGCGTGGGGGAGGCAAAAGCCCGGGGGCTGGAGGTTCGGTCAGGCATTTCATCCCGGACAGAGACTCCAGTAGGGGAGGGGGAGAGGTGACCTACAGGAAGCGTGTAAAAGATGGGGAGGGGGTGGCGTGGGAGGAGGACGGCTCACATAGGAGGCGCGCGTGCGCGCGAGCCTAACCCAAGGGGCTGGGGAGAAGGGAGCGAGCCGACGGGTGGGGGCGGGGAATACTCACAGATGCCCCCCATGACCCCGGCCAACCGGCACAGCCAACGGTACCACCACATCATGCCGTCGTCCTGTGGGGGCGGAGAGGAGGCGTCGGACGACGAGGTCTCCCCACCCAGGGAGCTCATGGTGCCGTCCGGGCGGGAGAAGTTCTCCCCCGGTTCCCCCTAATCCCCTTCCTCGCCGGATCCCGTCACAATAGGGCGCCCCCTCCGCCACCCATCGGCAGCTCCACGTCGCCGAAGGCGCGCTGAATTGTGGGGGATGTGGCTCAGGAGTTGTGGGACCGCCCGTCTTATTAGCATATTGGGGTGTGGCTTGGGGCAGCCTCCACAGGTGCGAGCAGCTGCGGGATCCGCCCACCTAACTAACGTGGGGAGGAGCTTGTAGAGGGGGCGGGGCTGGTACTGGTACTGCCTAGGTGAGGGTCGGGAGAGGCTGGTGCTTCCCTCTGAGCTCGAAGTTTAGACTGAGGCTTCTGGAGATTCGAAGGGCATGTAGGCGTTACCGAAATTTAACACATGGAAAAACCGACTCTAAGGTAAAGTGACCCCCCAAGATGACTCTGCAGGTTAGTGATGGAAAGAACAAGGACATGTGGTTGGAACCCTGGCTCTGACTGAGCATAATCCATCCCTTACGCTTTCTGCAAAGTGCTCCGCCCCAGCATAACCTGCAATCTTATCTCCACGAAGAATGATTCAGGATTTGATACTCAACACCTCGACTCACCCTCAATCACCTCTCCCCTTTAATTGGAGGGAAAAGTGCTCAACTCCTGCAAAGCCTTCCTTTATAGAAGGTTCACAACGTTCTGTTAACTCCATCTTCCACCACAGCTCTTCTTGGTTTTTGTTATTTAGGCGCATCTGACTCTTTGTGACCCCTTGGACCATAGCACACCAAGTCCATTATCTCCTGATGTCTGTCCAAGCTCATGTTCAGTGTTTCTATGACACTATCAATCCATCTCATCCTCTATCTTCCCCTTCTCCTTTTGCTTTTAATCTTTCTCAACATCAGGGAATCTCATTGAGTCTAGTCTTCTCATTATGTGGTAAAAGTATTTAAGTTTTAGTATTTGTCCTTCCAATGAATAGTCTGAATTAATTTCTTTAAGTATTAACTGATTTGATCATCTTGATGTCCAGTGAGCTCTCAAAAAACTCTTCTCCATCACCTTAAGTGTTGATTCTTCAGTGCTCAGCTTTCCTAATAATCTGACTCTCAGAGCCATACATTACTACTGGAAAAACCATAGCTTTAAATATACAAACCTTGGTTGGCAACATGATGTTTCTGATTTTTAGCATGCTCTCCAGATTTGCCATAATTTTCCTTCCAAGGAACAGGTGTCTTTTAATTTCATGGCTTCATTGTCTGTCTGCAGTGATCATTCAGCCCAAAGAATATAAAATCTGTCACTGCTTCCGTTTCTTCTCTATCTATTTGCCAGAAAGTGATGGGACATGATGCCATGATCTTGGGTTTTTGTGTTTTTTTTTTAAGTTAAGCTTCAAGCCAACTTTTTTACTAGATGCTTTCACCTCATCAAGAGGCTTCTTAATTCTTCTTCACTTTCTGCTTTCAGAGTAGTATTGCCTGCATATCTGAGATTGCTGATATTTCTCCCAGCAACCTTAATTCTGACTTTTGATTCAACCTGCCTGGCATTTCTCATGATATCCTCTGCATAAAAGTTAAATAAGGTGAAAATATCCAGCCTTTTCATACTCCCTTCCAATCTTAAACTAATCAGTTGTTCCATGTTCAGTTCAACTATTACTTCTTGACCTATATACAGATTCCTTAGGAGACAGGTAAGATGATCTGGTACTCCCATCTCTTTGAGGATTTGCCAGATTTTGTTGTGATCCACATAGTCAAAAGCTAAATTTAGTATATAGTCAATGAAGCAGAAGTAGATGTTTTTCTGGAACTCCCTTGCTTTCTCTATAATCTAGTGAATACTGGCAATTTGGTCTCTAGTTTCACTGCCTCTTCAAAAGCCAGCCTGCACTTCCCAGTTCAAATGTTACTGAAGCCTAGCTTGCAGAATCTTAAGCATAAACTTATTGGTGTGTGAAATGAACACAATTTTTTTGGTAATTTGAACATTCTTTGGCATTGCCCTTCTTTAGGATTGGGACATAAACTGATCTTTTTCCAATCTAGTGGCCACTGTTGAGTTTTCCAAATTTGCTGGCATATTGAGTGTAGAACTTTAACAGCATCATCTTTTAGGATTTTAAATAGCTCAGCTAAAAATCTGTCGAGGGCCAGCTCTGATCAGACCAGAAAAGGATTGAAGATTTCAGGTTGGAATTTAACTCCTACCTGTTCTTACCTTCAAGGGCTGTTGGCTCACCACTCTTCTATTCATTAAGGGGCTCCTGGAACTGCCCTACTGTGACACTATAAAAGTCTGGCATGAGGGATAACATGTGGCAAACTAGGGAGGACTAGTCACATACTTTGAGATAAGAACCTGAGACAGCCCTGAGAATGATTGTCAAGGCCTGTTAATTGACTGTTTATCTCTATCTTGTAACCAGTTGGTTTAAAATGTATGTAATCCTTTCTTCTTGATACTTTTATTGTATGCTCCTTTGATGTATGTCCTGAAAACATTTTTTTACCGAGCTCTGAACCTTGAAAGTTATCAGTAACAGTTACAGAATATGCATAGTTTTCCCATACAAGGAATTCTTTGAAGTTCCAAACTTTTTCCTATATATGCTGTGACCCTCAGATGAATAAATGGTTCAGTCTTGGCTGACCTGCCTGGCCCATGTTTCTTCAGTTCACGCTCTCCCATCAGGTGTGATTCTTAGTTGCTGGTAACAAGTGGCGCCTAGACAGGGACCTGAAAGCAACGGTTTGAGGGGAGCAGCTCTCTTAGGACTCTGGAGAAAATAAAAAGGACAAAGAAACACCTTGGCAGCTCGACGCTGTGGAAACAAGGTAAGAGAGCAAAAAGCACAAAATACATACCTTTAGCAGTTTTAGGGCTAAAGGGGACACCAGGCTAAGTGGAATAGTAGGGAAAAGAAACAAAGGGGCTCGGTATTTAGAGCAGAAGAAAACAGCATCACTTTGGAACAGCCAAGAGCACATACTTTCGGTTTTAAGAGGCGCACTTAAGGTCGAAAGTATGGGTCAAACACAAAGTGGGAACAAAGATAGAGAATATTATTTGAGACTCTTACAGAAAATAGTGAAAGAAAGGGGTTTACTTATCACAAGCAGTCAGTTACAGGAATTTTTAGACAGTGTTGAAACATGCTACCTGTGGTTTCCACAAAAGGAAAACATAGACTTAGAAAAGTGGGAGACGGTGGGCAGACAAATGAGTGAATATTCCAAGGAAGTTGGTCCAGGTGCATTTTCCATAGCTGTATTTTCCATATGGAGTGGGTTAAAAATCTGCCTCACTCCTCCAGAAAAAGTACCTTTAGCAACAAAAATCCTGAAAAAAGATGCAGGGGCAGGGACTGAAGAGGAAGAAGAGATAAGTCAGGTATTTAATGAGCAGCAAAAAATTAGAAAGAATGATGAGGGTGAATTAATGTACACACAACCTACAGCCCTGTTAAGACCCCCACCCTCTTATAGATGTCCTTCCTATAGAGAGGAAAATAGTCAGGAACATCAGAACGAACTACCAAAGGGGATGAAAGTTCAGTGTAAAGGACTTTTAGAAGAGGCAATAAAAAGAGCAGAGGAAATAGGGGAAGAAGTACCCGGAACACAGGATAGGGGAACCTCCTTCACTAAAATAAAACAGGGTGCTCAAGAAACCTTTACAGATTTCTTAGCTTGCCTGACACAGCCCTTTCCACCTCCATCTCCACCAGAGCCTTTTCCTGATAATATGTTTAAAGAGGCCTCTGCTCCAGTTCAGAGAGCCATCCTTGGAGCATTAAAATCTGAAGAAACAGTACCATCTGAGTTTCTTCAAGCTCTTCCTGTCCTTGAGATCCGTTATCCAGCAAATCCTGCTAATATTATAAGACAACATGAAACCTTAAATTTCAAAATACTAAAAGAACTTAAACAGGCAGCTTCGGCTTATGGCCCTACCGCTCCTTATGTCATGACCTTATTAGACAATATTGCAACTACTGTTCTTTATCTTTTTGACTAGTGTACCATTGCTAAAATATGTCCAGAAAGGGGGGATTTTTTGTTTTGAAAAATTAATTATTATGATAACTATATGAGAAGCTAACTCCAGTTTTTTGATTTTCCCTGTCATAATTATGTATCTGTTCTGTGTTTGTCTGTGTGGTATGAATGAGTGTCCTGTGTGTAATTTGTCATCCTTTGTAGCCAGGTAGCAAAAATAGCATTCCAGTTGCCAAGACTGCAGCTGGACTCTGGAATGCCGCTTTCTTCCCCCCCCCCCCCCCCCCGCCCCTCCCTGATTACAGCAGCCTCAGAGGAGTGGATGAATGGGACAGAGAAAGAGAGAAAATACTTCATTATTTAGGTTATATATTGGTAAAAGGCAAGTTAAGAAGGATCCTTGAACTGTCAGGTCAAAATTAGAAAGAAATAAGATATATGCAGTTTTAAAAGGAATTTAATCAAAATCCATCAGAAGAAAAGGTAACAAAGTTTAAGCATATAGAAATTAAAGAAGTATAGGTAAAAAGAAAAGTATAATCTATTTGCAAGAACAATGTGTACAGAGGGTTTGGTTTTGAAACTTTTGAAGAATTGTTGGGAAAAATAAATCTTCTCTCTCTCTCTACATTCTAACTCTGGCCAAGTTTTGAATGTGGAGGGAAAGACAAGAAACAAAAAGGGGGATCAAAAATAGAGGTAGCACTTAATCTTTTCTGCCTCACACAAGAGAAAAGTTTTTGTGTACCGGAACACAACTAAAAGGTAATTTAATTCATTCTGGTAATATTTTAAATGAAATGTGATGTTTTTAACTTAATGCTTAAGTCAAAATTTATTATACTGTTTGGCACTAAGGTAAATTGGGAAAATGTATGGATCTGAAATTTGTTAACTGGGTGACATTAAGCAAGTTACCTCAGTTTATCTCACATGATTGGAAGGTGCCTAACACAATACCTAGCAGAGGACAGACACTAAAAATGTTAACAACTATTATTATTAGTTCCTTAATTAGAGGTGACCAGTATACAATGTCAATGGTGAAGA